GTTTCTGGTTTCACAGTGAGTCCCAGACCAACCTGGGCTACATAGTAAGACCCTATCTCAAAACAAAACAAAACAAAACAGCCCCCAAACCCAAACAACAAAAACAAAACAAAGAACTCCAAAGTGAGTTTGCCTACCTCAAACAACATCAAAATTCCCCAAATTCCACAAGCTCTAGTAGAGTCTGGGTACCTCACTCTAACTAACACTCATGAACTGTTTGCTCTAGACAAGTTACTTGAGCTGTAGTTTCCTCATTGGCAAAACAGTAATAACCTTACCTCAAAGATTTGCTGTGAAGACTAAATCAGGTAATATTTGTAAAGTTCTTAGAATAGTGCCTGGCACATATTAAGCATTTAACAAATACCAGCTACTGTTTTAGCAGAGTTGAGGTATTTGCTGAGAAATAAGCGACAAAGACCTCAGATGATCCAGGAAGTGATTGACTTCACTCAGTTATCACTATGGAGATGTAAGTATAATATTTATTAACCAAAGAAGCCACAAATAGTTTTGTGGAGTTTGGTATAATTAAATTCAGATATAAGATTTTGTGAAGAAATGTTAAGACATTCCTGAAAATGTCTTAAATAATTTAAGAATTATCATATAAGTCTAACACTGATTCCATATTAAAGAAGTACGATAAGAGGATAGTGGAGTGGCTTAAGTGGTAAAGTGCCTGCCTAGCAAGAGTGAGGCCTGAGTTCAAATCCCAGTACGGTCAAAAAACAGAAAGTCAGCAAATAAGTAGGGCAAATTATGAAACCATACCCTAACCCAAGTCTTTGCATTATATTAGTAATGGAAAGAATGAGGTAATGTGGTATGATCTTTTCTTTTTATTTACTAAATGTCTATTATGTATCAGCCACACAAACTTAGACACACAAAAAACATAAACATACAAGAAAATCAAGATGCATCTATGCAATTAAAAAAAAAAAAAACTCCAGAAAGCCTTCTTAAATTATAGTACTTTTAAAATTAAAGTACTTTTTAAGTGTTTCCTGTTAGGCTATTTGATTATGAATGCTCTCCTTGCTGGGCGCTGGTGGCTCATGCTTGTAATCCTAGCTACTCTGGAGGAGGAGGATCAAAGTTTGAAGCCAGCCTGGGCAAACAGTTCATGAGACCCTATCTTGAAAAAACCTATCACAAAAAGGGCTGGCAGAGTGGCTCAAGGTGAAGGCCCTGAGCTCAAGCCCTAGTACTACAAAAAAAAAAAAAAAAAAAAAAGAAGAGAGAGAGAAAAAAGAATGATATTCTTGATATAAAGGGTCTAGGAAACAAATGGTTGTGAATCTTTAGGAAATGAAAATTAGAGCAAACCTCAGCACTATAGTTCAGTTACTACACCTGGCCTCTTGCTGGCCTTTAACCCAAATTTTAATATAAAAGAAAACTCACAGAACTCATTTTGAAAGTGCAAGTATCACAAAGGCTGGTAAACTTCTAGAACATGTCAGAAATAGCAATGGTTTTATTTTCAACTATGGTCCTTTAATAATCTGAACTTAAGATGCATTTCACAAATGCTTACAGTAATAAATTCCAGACCCTAAAAATGCTAATTAAATCCTATTATTCCTAAATGCACCATTACAGCCCAAACTGGGCAAAAAGAAAAAAACCTTCAAGTCTTGGTTTCTGGCTCACTTACTTTAAGAAATATTAAAAACAAAGAAATTGTTTCTATAGCCCCAATATGATGAGACAACAATAATGGTTCTTAAGCAGCACAAAAAATTCTTGACAAAAGGAAAAAAGTATCTTGTTTTGTGCTAAAGCAACTATCTGTACAGCTGCTGCCATAGCTACAGCTAAGATAAATACAGTTAAGAAGGAAAATACTCCTGAATTTACTTAGTACGATGATTTTAAGTTTTGGATGTACTTATGAGCTAGTGTGGAGTGTGAAGAGTGTCAGAAAGTGCCCTAGGGTTCTGGTTACTTTTGGCCATTCCCTCATTCTTCTCCATGAAGCAGTCCTTTAAGACAACCCTTTGGATCCTTAGATGCCTATGTACACAACCTGAAAGCCCTTTCTCTCAAAAAAGCCAAATGCCATTAAATATACATCTTTCAATTGATGTCTAAAATTATGTACAAAAGACATCACTTAGTTATATTAGTTATCACCTATATAGTCAAGGAGTCTCCAGGCTCTGAGGCATAAAAGTAAAAATTTAGACAGTTGGTTTGCCTTTGATATATGACTAAACTTCATCTGAAAACTTAAAAAACCTGGCTATACATACACCTAAAATCTATGTGGCACATAACTTGACTTTATAAATGTACTTTGTCTAAATGTGCTAATTGCTAAAGCCATTTCCAGTCCATTACATATATTCATTTTGACACAAAAAGGACTATGATAACATTAGCTGTCCCCCATAGTCTGAATGTAAGCTCCATACAATTCTTAGTTTCAGATTCCAGTAAAGGATTATAGGTTACTTACATTTTTGACAATAGGACTATGGGCAACTGGATGGAGGGTAATTTGTCTGCTTCTGTCAATACTAGCAAATGTTGTGAATAAATATATCATAAAAAAAGCAGACTGGCTTCTTGGGACACCTAACTAGCGAAGGGTAATCAGGGGGTGGGAGAATGAGTAATCCTTTCAGATGCTGACTTTATAAGCTTGACTAGATTAGTAAAAAATTTTCCTAACAAGTTCTTAGAGCTCTGTGGATCACTCCTGAATGTATAAAGTGTCATTTTGCACATAAAGTACTTTGTCTGCCACCACTTCCACAGGAATCATTTGAAGAAGTATTTTCAAGTAACATATTAAAGACCCCACCACATCTTTCACATTAAAGAGGGAATAAGAGAAAAACATGTAAGTCTATGTGAAGAAGGAAGATGCAATGCTACTTGAAAAAACACATTTGTACTTGTTAATAAGCAATGTTTAAGAGAGATAACATTTCATAATGGTGATTATTCATATCACACTAACACACCATTCCTATGACTAGTATAAACCAAGTCCAAAAGCTGAAAGAGATTCCAATTAAGTATGTAAAGCCTAAGTACAGAGCTAAGACAATAACAACATCAAATGGTACTCTCTTGAAATCTAACATCACTTTCAAAATGTAACATAATTCTACTTCCTATACTGTTGGAAGAGACCCCGTGTTTCTGTGTTTTCTCTGAGCCCTTCTTGTTATGGTAGCATTCTAAATATATTACAGTGCTTCCTAGATATGTGACCAAGACCATCTACTAAATAAAATCAGTAATATACACTGAGATGCAAAGACATTAACCCATTAAAAATTCATATCCATGAGTAGGTATGAGTTTTCTTAGTAGACTGTGTCCATACACCTTGGGATTCGAGGAATGCCTAATGTAATCTCCACCTTCATTTAGAAATATGAGCCTTTTAGTTGGGTATGGTGGCTCATGCCTATAGTCCCAGATACTAGGGAGGCTAAGGTGAAAGGATTCCTCACAAGTTTGAGATCAACTGGGAAACAACATAGTAAGACCCTGAGAGAGAGAAAGAGAGGGAGAGAGAGAGAGAGAGAGAGAGAGAGAGACTTTTCAAGTTTTATATTTTGAAGTCGCTAATAAAGAGACATAAAGTATTAAATTGACATGGAAATACAGTTTGTGGAATGGAAAAATCAAGAGCTAGCAAGGCTAATTTAGAATAATGACACAGAAAGAAGTAAGACTCCTCTAATCTATTCACACACTTGATAGACGTGCCCAATTTATAGCAACTGAATGGTGGCAGATTTCAAAACTATATACATGACCAAATATGACTCTGGCACTGCTTAAGAGTCACTACTAGCTTTTTTGTTCATCCCTAAAGTCTTTGTTTCCTAGCACCATCTCTATAAGATTCTGCTGCGGTTGACAGTATTGGAGACACTAGAAATAACACTACCTACTAAGACCTGACTTGCCAAGAAATCGGGCATTTATGTACTGCCTGATTGGAAACTGGCCATTTCTTTCAATTCCTGACAGCCTGTTACTTTCAACAGGGCACAATCTATACTTAAAATACAAACCCCAACATGTAATTTTGCAGATTGTGATTTTTTGATTACCTACTATATGATCCAAATCACACACTAGAAAACTGTCAGAAGAAAACACATGTCAACATCACTGACGATGTCAAAAGGGACACTTTGTTAACATTCAGTAATGGAACCCAGCAAAAACTGAGCTTGAATGGCTCCTAATAAGTGGAAACTAAGAAATTTACCTGGAATGGGGGATTGAAGGGGATGAAAAGGATAAGGAGGGAATAGAAGGAATATAGAAATACAGAAAGAATGGAAGGAAGGAGGTGGTTTGTTTTGAAGAAAAAGAGAAGAATCAATGTCTTTACCTTGTACGCACTGACTTAGGGAACACTTAATAGTTTCTGGTTTGTCTATTCAGAAACTGATGTATCTGTTGAAAGTTGATTCTTTAAGAGTATGTTTGGCTAAAATTCAACGCAGAGCCAGACCTCCTTCCTTGTGCTAATTAATGTGCCTGTTGCATTACTTTTGACTGGTAAGGAGTTTTATACAAGGGGGTTGGTTATAATGTATGGAACTTACATTTAGATGTCTGAGAAAGACTGAAGCATCAAATAACCAACTTATTGGTTATACTTATATAATCTCAACCTATGGAAAGGAAGGCAAATAGTAAGCGATAATACTTTTTTAGTCAATGGTAGATACCTAAAAACACCAGCTTTCTTAGTGCTTGAAAGAGGAAAATGAATATGTTGAGAATACCATGCTACTGAACATTTCTTGCAGTATTATCCTTTCTTAAACCTAGAAGTCACTCTCTAAGGTACTAGCTATGAAATTGCCTCTAAAAAATACCATTAAATAGAAAACTTTCAAATCCACAAGAGAAAAGAAACATTGGAAAATGAAAGACAAAGGAAGTGAAAGGCAAATAACCAACTCAAAAGGCTTAACTATAGGTAGGTGGAAAGAAACTTGATACTATACTTTGGTTTTGCATTTTTGTATTCTTCAGTATCAGTGTCCTCATCCTCTGAGTACCAATTATCTCCTCTTCCTCCAGCCAAGAGGCCCCTGGCCGCCAACAGTCCTGCAGCATTTCCATAGCCAGTGTATTTCAGCAGGCTATCCACTGCAAAAACAGAACAAGGTTTTAGACAGGAGTCTTTGCATGCTCACTCACCATCATCAACCACTCATAGCACAGAGATGTTGGAAACACCTGCTAAGCAGTAAATCTTTAAATTATGTTTTCAAAGTGTAGTAGTAGTTATGCTGAACCATTTACAAATTCTCCTACATCCTCTGAAGATTTTTTTTTTAAGGTATCGGAAATTTAAAAAGAGCTGGTTTGAACACACTTTAGGCATAAGTAGGACCTCTGTGATTGCCCAACAATTGGTAAGGGTCATTTTTTAAGGTTCTCATCTCAAATCTTACTTTTAAAAAAAGTTGGTTTTAAGAAATGATAAAAAACTAGAGATAGCTGGGCACTAGTGGCTCATAACTGTAAACCCAGCCACTCAGGAGGCAGAGATCAGGAGGATTGTGGTTTGAAGCCAGCCCAGGAAAATAGTTTGTGAGACCCTATCTCGAAAACACCCATCCCAAAAAAAGAGCTGATGGAGTGGCTCAAGGTGTAGGCCCTGAATTCAAACCCCAGTACCACAAAACAAAACAAAACTAGAGATAGTAAAGGTCAGATTTTTACCAACATGGTATATAATATTCCTTTCACCATTTGTAGGAGTTCAAGGCAAAAGGTATAAGAAATAAGAAAACTTAAGGTTATTAGCAAATACAATAAGCTATCTTGCTGCTGTAAAAAAAAGGAAATCAGAGTTGGGCGCTGGTGGCTCACAACTGTAATTCTAGCTACTCAAGAGGCAGAGATCAGGAGGATATCGGTTCAAAGTGAGCCTAGGCAGAGTTCGTGAGAACTCTATTCGAAAAAAAAAATCACAAAAAAGGGCTGGTGGAGTGGCTCAAGGTTTAGGCCCCAGTACTACCAAAAAAAAAAAAAAAAAGGCTCTACCACTAAATCTCTGGTTGACTTTGTAAGATATTCTACAGTTCTATCCCAGTTTTCTGATTTGTAGAAATGGGGTAAGAACTAGCTATTTCACAAGTTAATACATGCAAGGTTTTTAGAAAAGTATCTAGCACAAAGTAAATAATTATTCTTTTCCCCTTGTATTATTGAGTAAAATAATTCTTTTAGACAAGGAGCCCTGAAGTATTTGGCCCAGGACTTTTGTTAAGTACTACACTGCCAATACTGTAAGGTGGTATCTTGAAAATGAGATGACACATGAAAACTTTTGCAAAAAACCTTGTACTGTAGAAATTTTTTGTGTGTGTGTGATTTCTAGATACCTTTAAGGGAGACACTAAGCAATAACTGACAGCTATATTTAGGAGTACTTCCTTTTCTTCAGGTACAATTTCAAGGTGAATACTAGCATATTAATCAAAAGATAAAACTGGCAAAATTTACTTAAGACTTTCAATAGAATGCTGATAAAATGTCACCCTAAGGACCACTGTAGGAAGTAATACACATCTTATCCATGTACAAAGCCTATTAAAACCTACATTAAAAATGTAATTCAGATCACTCCCCTCAAAAAAAGTCAAAAGAAAGCCGGGGAAGATTCCAAGGGCAATTAAAATGACCTTGGGGACCTCTTAAAAGGGGCTGCAATAGAGAAATAGGTGGTTAAGAAAAGGGGATATATATGATCAGAATATGGAACAATCAAGGCCATGGACAGAGTTGTTCATTAAATTTTCAAATACTTAAAATGGAGGGTACCTCTCTGACACTGAAAATAGGGACTGTGGGGACAAATAAAAGGAAGTCCTCCTTTCAAAGAATATAGAAAACAAGTGAAATTTGTTCAAAAGGAAATACGGATTAATAATATACGTACATTAAGTGGGATTTAAACTACTAATTTTCAAGCTGAAAACCTACTGGTAACGGTAATCTCTGGTAGTATTTCTCAGAGGGTACTGGATAATACCATTAATAAGGAATCAGATAAATTGAAAACCCTCTGAATAAATCTGATATGCTTTCTTTTCCTATCAATGCCTCCCCAAGATGCAGTAATTTAGATGAATTAATGAATCCTTAAAGAGTTATTAGAGGAAGAGATAAGTGTAGTATACATAAGGTTTTATTTACTTGTTTATTTGCAGTACTAGGGTTTGAGATCAGGGCTTTGTGCCTGCTAAGCAAATACTCTGCTATTTGAGCTGTGATCTTGGTCCTTTTTGCTTTAGCTTACTTTTCAGGTAGGGTAACATGCTTTTGTCTGGGTAGGCCTTGGATCTGGATCCTCCTACTTCCACCTCCTAGGAACCTGAGGTTATAGTTATGAACCACCATACTGGTCCTCAGGTATTCTTAATATTCATGGAGGTCAGATATGACCTTAATGACATGATCAGACACAAAGCCACTGAGAATGAAAGATCACAGCTCTAAACCCACAGAGCAAAATAAATAAAAAAAACCAAGCAAACCCATAGAACACTGATGAGCACTGTATCCACAGAGCATTGCACACATTATTGATAAAACTTATTTTTATTTTTTGTTTTTTCCTTAATAAAGAGGAATGTTTAATAGTTCCAGAAAAGTAACAATCACTGAAATTATTAAAGTCTAACTTGAGATTATATGAATAAATGATTTAAATTAATACACTTAAAAACAAGATAACAACAATTTAAAAAATGACACAAAATAACTAAGGTTAAGAATGCAAAGATTATGAAAGGCTAAAAAATAGGTTAGCCTATTTTAAAAATAGGTTAAACAGAAGTGAAAACAACAGTAAGTAACAGCTTTCTTCTGCAGAAAATCCCTCTGGAAGCAAGCTAACAGTAAAATTTCCTGGCATTTTAATGAACTGTTCTTTGTTTTTTGGTTGGTTGTTTGTTTTGTTTGGTGGTACTGGGGTTTGAACTCAGGGCCTCACACTTGCTAGGCAGGTGCTCTACCACTTGAGCCACTTCTCCAGCCCTCCCTGGCATTTTAATGAAAATAATGTTCATTATTTTCACTGGAACAAACATGCCAATTCTGTAACAGGCAGTGTATTATTACAATGATGATTTACCTACTTCAAAGTAGGTAAAGTTACAACCAGTAACTTTAAAGTCAAATGATCTTTTGTTAAGAGGATAAAATATGGGGAGCAGAGGAGGAAAGACATATGGAATACAAAATCTTCACAATGAGAGGTACTGATGGAATGTTTTTAGCTACGTCTTATTCTATTTTCAAATACAACATGTAATATCCTAATTGATGCTGAAAAAAATAGAAGAGGAAAACAGACTGAATTTGGATATTAAGGTGAGCTGCTAAGGCAAAGAAAAGATTTTCTGGTGGTCTTAAACACACACACACACACACACACACACACACACACAGAGCACATTTGTCCTTGTCATAGTAATCATCCATGTAGTTATGTGAAAATGCTGCTGAAATCAAAACGTTTAGCATTCAGCCAGAAAAATGCAAGCAGTATTTCACCATTACTTTTTTAGGATGCTAGAGGGCACTATGAACAGAGAAAAGCAACCCCAGTACTGAGCACATTAGAACTGCACTGGCAGTCATAGTATTAATGATTACGCAAATGTGGGTTTTATAAATACTACCATTTAAAAGACAAGTTGTTTTTTGTTTTTTGTTTTTCCCCAGTATGGGGTTTGAACTCAGGGCTTTAAGCTTGCTAGGCAGGTGAGGTGCTCTACTGGTTAAGCCATGCCTCCAGCCCAAGTTTCTTCTCTTTTACCTAGAAGAAAGAATGGCAGAACCAGATTCTATCCAGAGACTATTCTCCCTTCTGTGTAAATCTTTCTTTGCCTTGGCTGACTAGTATCCTCACTCTAGTCTTACATCTTTCCATTCTTTATTCTACACACTGTTCAATATATATTTGTAAAACAAAAACATGACTATAGTATGAGGCCTTGGCTCAATCCTCGGTACTGTAAAAACAAAACAAACCACCACTACCACCAATAACAAAACAAACCAAGATTATATTATCCTCCTCAATAAAAGCTCTCATATTTCCTCTAAAGGCTCAAATTCTAAAACAGGGCCTAACAGGCTCTTCATTTTGTAGCCTCTGCCTTCTTTCCTAAGCTTGTCTTCTATACTGTGGTTTCCTTACATCTTGAACTAGTTGCTCTTCTGTACCTACTATGGCCATTTCCCATTTCTCTGTCTTCTGCAAAGAATTTCTCTGACTTCCACAACCCCTAATCGTTCCCTCTTCCAGACTGTGGTAGTACTGGGCACATTCCTCTCTTGGACTTTACCAGAGTACAATAAAATTATTCCTCTTTGTGGAAAAATACACAAGACAGCATGTTCATTATATTGAATTTATGGAACTTGGAAGTTAAGTTGCTGACCTGAAGCAAATTGAAGCCTGAGTAGGTAGTGAGGACACTGAAAAACCAATTAGTCTTTCAAGACGCTAAGATGTGAAGGACAGTGATATGAGTATTTATATGGATTAAGGAAAGCACAGAGAGGGAGAGTTAAAAAAAAAAAACCCAAAAGAAGAGAGAGTAACAACTGATGGAGCAAGGCTTCTGCAAAGACAGGAAGAGCAAAGATAAACAGGAAGGGGAGACTGTTTAACTGAAGCTAGAGACACCTATTCCTCTGAGCCTGAAATGGAGAGTAAAGTAAAATTTTCAGTATTGGGCTATATGCTGAGGGAGTTCAAGTCCAATTTAGCTTTATAATTCAGTCCCTACTACAGTGCCTGGCATACACTCGGAATTAGTGAATTAGGTTACAGGGAGGAAGGGCAGGAATCCTACCAAGGCAAGGGGTTATTTTACAAAGGATTTTCTCCTGATTAAACTATGTAAGTCCAACCTTCAGGCTCCCTGCAGAAAGTACAAAATTTGCAGAGCAATGACAAAAGTTTAGTTACATCAGGGCTCAACAGAACAAGACGGTGGCGTGAGCACAAGTTAGTCTTTTGTTCGCTATCGGATGGAGATGTGCTTTAGCCTGGTTATTTAAGACACTTGGATGGTTTCTTTTGTGCCTACTTATCCATAATTTTGTGTTTTGCATATCACCTCATTTCAGTTTCCTTCTTCATGTAGTCTCGGTGTTCTTAAACTCAACGTGATTGCAGCTTTCTGTCTCTACTTTGTGGTCTGACCATTGAACACTGATCAAAGTACCCTCACTTTCAACTTAGTTCTGCAAATCTTTAAGCTAAAGTTCAGCCACTCTGACAAATTATTTAAAATTTATTTTATTTTGGTAGTAGTCTACTTCCAAACTCAACTTAAAAAATCTAATGAATTTTAAGTTGAAGGTAGACTGCAGACTTTTTTGGCCAGAAGTTTTAAATTTGATTAGCTGATAACACTGAAAATGGAGAGATTTTATGTAAAAATCCAGTGTTCTAGTTTCTCTCGAAAAACATGGTAGACCTAGTAATACTTGGCACTTTTCCTTCATGATAACAATCAGTTGGGTCTAAATAGCAATGTCCTCTTTTCAGTCTCTTGCAGTCCCACTATCCCCTCCAATAATGAGTTGCTGGAAAGTACCGGTGTTCATTTATCATCTTACATCTAACTCATTTGACTTACTTTTATTATTAACAGGCTGGTGTAAGCATTTGAGTTTTGACCCTAGCCTAAAAAAGTAAAGAACAAGAAGGTAGAGAATTTGTTTATCTTGTATATTTTGTAGGATCTAGCCAAAAAATTTTTTTGAAGAAATGAATTTTTATTCCAAAAGAATGTATCTATAAACTTATAATCTAACTAAAAGGAAAATCAGATGGCTATATATAGACATGTCAAAGTTCAAATGAAAAAAATATTACCATGCTCATCGGGGTTGGCTTTGGGCTCAAAGCTACAACTATGAAACTTCACAAATATTAGGTTGAAAAGGGAAAGCCAATCATTTCAAATAGAAAAAAAAATTTACAGAAATTACTTACAAATGCCTATACTGCATTTGCTGTGACATTCACTAATTTATAAGTAAGGTGAGTATAACTAGATATATATATGTAGCTCTGCATTTTGATATGGAATATTTAAGATATATAGTCACAGAAGAAACAAATTTTATTTTTGCTCTATTAAAAAGCTTTTAAAAAGTATATGAGAAGTGGAAAGTGATGGAGGGGGTGAATTCAACTATGATAAATTGTAAGAAACTTTGTGAATGTCACAATGTACCTGTAGTATAATAATAAAGTATAAAAAAATAAATTTTTGATTAAGACATTAAAAAAGAATGAGAAATGGATGTCCATTGTAGAAAAATTATGATAGAGAACTAAAAAGGGAAAAAACATCCACCAGTAATCTTACTAGTAATAAAATCTAAAATATCATATATTAGAAATATTATATATTATTTATAATATTACAGAATATTGATGTCAATATTATAAACAATAAAAGTATTTTTCTGAATATATAATTACTTATGAATAATAAATATCATTTCTGAATATTTATAATATCATAAATAACATTACATAATACTTTAGCATATATTTTGACAAATTTTGATTTTGGTGGCACTGGGGTTTGAACTCGGCCTCAGGCTTGCTAGGCAGGCACTCTACCTTTTTAAATGAACATGTATTGCTGGTTTAGATTTATATATATACATACATACACTTTAAAACAGCTCTGTTTTTATCTAAGAAAAATATATTCAATTTAGTCAGTACTTACTAACACTATATATAGGACACAATGATAACCACTGAATTCCAAGATGTTAAATCAATCTTTTTTCAAAATTATGAGAGAAATGAATTGTCCAAAAGAACAGATGAAACTGAGCTAGTAATAATAATAATGGCCTTACAGGGACCTTATGTGAGTTAAGTGTTACATGGCACTGGTACTTCTTATTTCATAGAGCTACGTTTACCACCATTATGATAATGATCAAATTATGTTCTTAACAGGAACTTAAGTGGTTGGCTAAATAATTCAGAAATGCAGTTTAAGAATACAGTTGGTTTAAGATTTTGAGAGGAGTTAACTTTTCCATCTCCAAACTGTCTCACAAAACCGGGCACTTTAAAAAAACAAGAAGAATAAGAAGGCTGCTTAGATGAGATTTTACACTAGGATATTTATAAACTAGAAGGAGAAATAGGTGAGAAGATCTGAATAATTTAAATAATTTAAGGCTCCTTGTTTGGAGAACTTTGCCTTTTTTTTAGAACAAATAATTTTAGAAAATATTTTAAATTGTTGGATCTACCTCAGGAGACTATCACTTTATATATACTCACAAAGTAGTTAGTTTTTAATTTCATTCTACATTATCTCAAGGGTAAGGCATGTATCTTATGCATCTTTGTGCATATACTATCCAGTATATTACATAGCACATATTCAATGACTGCTGACTGAAGAACCTGGTAAAGAAATTGAATTTTACTATAATTTCAAGAGGAATTAAATAGAAGAACTAACCCAGGTCTGTGTTGGTATCAAAATAGAAACAACTGAATTATTACAAAGATTTTTCATAATGACTCTAGATTTTGTCCCATCCAGATTAAAAAGTCTGGTCAAGGACGTAGAAGATAAAATTTAAAAGTGTGTGCATTTGGGAATGCATCTGTCTCTTGAATGTCTTATGAATTCAGAGGCATAAGAAAATTCATTATTTATTTGGCAGTACTGGGGTTTGAACTCAGGGTTTCATGCTTGCTAGGTAGGCACTCTACTACTTGAGTCAAGCCCCTTTTACTCTGGTTATTTTGGAGATAGGGTCTTGCTTTTTTGCCCATGCTGGCCTGACCACTATCCAATTTTACACTTTCTGCTGCTGCTGGGATGACAGGTGTGCACCACCATGCCCAGCTTTTTTTCCTTGAGATGGGATTGGCCTATCTTTTTTTTTTTTTTTTTGCCTAGATTGGCCTGGAAGTGCAATCTTCCAATTCTCAGCCTTCCACGTAGCTTGGGATGACAGATGTACACCACTATGCCAAGCTACTGGTTGAGATGAAGTCTTGTTAAGTTTTTGCCTGGGCTGGCCTTGAACTACTATCCTCCTGATCTCAGTCTCCCAAGTAGCTAGGATTACAGCCATGAGCCACTTGTACCTGGCTTGAAAATGCTTTTAAATGATCACTTTTTATTACTCCTCAGCCTCTCTACTCTATTAATAATAGGTAGACAGTAAGCTTTGCAAACAGTGGAATAAGATGGTCACTAAAAACAGGGTAATTTCTCAAATTCCCTCCAAAAGATAAAAAATAGAGAGCAAAGAGTCAACCTACCTCTCTCTTTGCAAAGGACAAAAAGGAATTCAGCAGCAATTTGCTTGACTCCAAGGTCAACATGTGTCATGAGGCGCACCAGCTTATTTCTCACAGTGGAGCCAACTTCAGGTCTATTTGTCACATCCCTTAAAGGTGGTAAAACCTGATGGCACAAATGAAAAAACCATCATCAAGTGAAGGTATTAGAGTATGTGAGGATGATCTCATACAACTGGTCAATGTTGTAATGGTTACTGGGCTTAGTTTTGGAAAAGTGAAAAAAGATTAAAAATAGATATAGGTTAGTTTCCGTATAAAGTTAAAATAAAAATAAACAGATCTCAAATAATTTCATGCCTGTAATGAAGTTTCATTTGAACAGAAACAAGTCTTCACTGTATCTGTCACCAGGCTATCCTAAAGGTGTTCTTGAATTTTCACTCATTTCGACTGCTGGAATACTTCTTTTTGTCCCCATCAAATTTGTTTTAACTTTTGCATCATTTCACTTTTTTCCAAAGACTTTTATAATACCCAGAATCATACTAATTTCTTCCTTCTTTTAAGTCTGGTAGCATTTTCAGTATTTATTTTTAAAAAACCTGTATTTATGTTTCTAGTTGTTTCATTTTATAACAAAAAATGGCGGGCTGGTGGAATGGCTCAAGGGAAGAGTGCCTGCCTAGCAAGCACAAGACACTGAGTTCAAACCCCAGTACCACTAAAAAGAAAAAAAAAAAAAATGGTTACTACAGGTTGAGCATCACTAACCTGAAAATGTGAAATGCTCCAAAATCTGTAACTTTTTAAGCAGATATGATGCCACAAATGGAAAATTCCTTTTGTGATAGAAAAATTGACTTCATGTGATGGTGGCAGTCAAATGCAGATGCACTAAAAATATTGTATAAAATCACCTTCAGGCTATGTATATAGGTGCATACAAAGCACAGGATTCTGGGTTAGAGTTGGGTCCCATTGCCAAGGTATATTATCATGATATCCCCAAATCTGAAAAGATTCTAAATCTGAAATACTTCTAGTCCCAAGTATTTTTTAATAAGAGATACTCAATCTGTAATTATTGAGTTGCTGTAAAAGCTAGTATACATACATTATTTATAAGTAACATGACCCTCAACCTTACCTAATAGACTGATCCTCAAAGGGTTACTTTTTATCCAAATTGTTTATTTTATCTGTTCCTTTGCTCACTCACTTACCCATCCACTCACCCAGGCTTTCTCTCATCTGACTAGGTGCTTTGCCTCAGCCTCTTTTGTCAAATCTTTTCTCTTTCTGTCTTACAAATATTGGAATATTCACGGGTTAAATTCTCGGGCAACTTTTCTTCACTCACTTGGTGGTCTTATCCAGTTTTATGGCTTTATACAGTATCTGCACCCTTGTGACTCCAAATTGTCTCTCATAGTAAAAACGCAAGGTCCTCATAATCTCTTACAGGTTTCATATAATATGGCTTCCTGCTACTTTCCTGACTTCATTTCTACTATTCTCCTTACTTAAACTACTATATTACTACAGCCAAACAGACCTGCATGGAATACCTTTAACATACCCAGTACTGTGTTGACTCAGGTCCTTGCATGTACTGGTTTCTCTCTGCCCAGAAACTCTCTTTCTAGAACTATTTGTATGGCTTTCTTCCTTACTCAGGTCTCTATTCAAAAGTCCCTTACAGAGATAGTCTCTGACTACCCCTTCACTAACCTTTAGCATTCTCTTTACCATTCTCATCTTACTCTGCTATAATTCTCATAGCACTGATTACCATCTGACATACTAAACACTTACTGGTTTGGTTTATTGTGTACTTCCTTCCACAAAAGTAAGTTCCATCAGGGCAGGGATTTGTTTCTTTTGCTTCCCAGTGCCTAGCATATCACAGGTGCTCAATACATATTTTGTTGATTGAAGGAAAAATGAAATCAATTCAAGCAACATTGTTAAATACTGTATTGGTCTGTTTTCTGTTACCATAAGTAAATACCTGAAAGCAGGCTAACTTTACAAAGAGGTTTATTTAGTTCACAATTCTAGAGTTTCAAAGCCCAAGATCAGGTGGCCCCACCCAATGGTTCCATCTATGGTGAAGGCCTAATGAGGATGGCGTCACAATGGCAGGGATATATATAAGAGAAAAGGACTCACATTGTGAAACAGAAATTCAGAGTGATTCAAGGGAGCTCAAGGATCCCACAAGCATTAACCTTAATCCCTCTTGAGGGAAGCTCCTGTGACCTAAGGATCTCTTCAAGGTTCTTCATCACCTCCACTCTGAAGACCAAGCTTCTAATATATGAGCTCTTGGAAGACAAACCACATGCAAACCATAGCAAGTGCCATCTACATAAATAGTTAGGCCCTATGCTAGGAAATGAGGATAGATACAAAGTCAAATGATAGCTTACTGTGTACCTATTATATGCCAGATCCTATTTTATTATTTTTTTAATTCATTCAATTGACTTTGTTCCTTTCCTCTCTCTATGTTGAGAACATACCATATATTGGGAAGTACTGGAGGCACTGGAGAAATAGCTATGAATAAAAAAGTAGAAACTAAACCTCTGAAAATTGAGTCATCTGCCAAATGTTTGTAGAGTCTTTATGTCAATATCTCTGGCAAGGGAAAGCACAACAGTAGGCATAAAGTAATTGCACAGTAAGTCCTTATCCAAACCACTTCAACCATATAAGATTATCTCCCATTTTTAGAAGAGTGAGGCATATAATAGGTGATTTTATATAGCATGCATCTCTAATATTCACAGCGTAGTGACCAAGTTTACTATATAAAATTTTTATAAAATATTTTTGGGTTCCTTAAAACAAAATAAAACTTTAATGTAATTTTGTTCTTGCTATTATATGTCACTCCCAAATAGCATATGTGTTTCTTCCTAAATATTAGCCTCCAACAAATTTTTTGACAAATCTTATCCAGTTTCTCTTTCAAATCTACTGATTGTTAATCTCTTCTAAAAGCCTCTCCAGACTACTACGACCTGGGTCTCGCATCAGTATTCTTTTCCAATTGCCTAAATACTTGAGACCAACTGTCTCTGGGAATGTATGAGTTGGATTTAATCAGGTATTCACTACTGAGCACAATAATCCATTAACTGTGGTTTCATTTATGCTATCATAAAAGTTAATTATCTGTTTCATTTTTTTTTTTCTTAGTGATAGAGATCAAACTTAGGGCCTTGTGCTTGCTAAGCATAAGTTCTACCACTGGGCCACCTGCCTGCCAATCATCTGCTATTTCCAGTTCTGTCTTTCTTGATTCTAAGTCTACAATGCATCTTCCTTAGAAAGAAAGTTGATTTCTTTGTTATACTTTGCACTACAGTTTAAGTATGTCTCCTAAGGGTTCATGAATTGGGATCCTGGTGCTTAGTGTGGTGGTGCCAACAGATGGTGGACCTTTAAGAGGTAGGGATTAGAGGGAGGACCTTAGGTCATTAAAGAACTTCCCTCAGAAGAAATAAAGGTAGCCTGAGCTCTCACAAGAGTGCCAGCTCACCCTGACTCACTCTCTGGCTTTGTTTTGAGATACGGTTTCTCCCTTCTGGACATGCTTCTGGTGTATGTCACGTAGTGCTCACCAGAGCCAAGCCAATGCCAGTGCAGCTCCATGCTAAATCAATCTGTTTTCTTTATAAAGATAGCCTGCCTCAGGTATTTTATTATAGTAATGAAAAACAGACTAACATAGAAAACTGGTACCAGGAATGGGGTTGTTACTAAACTGTATCTGAAAATACAGAGGCAACTTTGGAATTGGGTAATGAGTAGAGGTTGGAAGAGTTTGGAGGAGCAGTCTAGAAAAACCCTGGAATGCTGTAAGCTGAATATTATGGGAAATTCTGGTGAAGGGTTAGAAGAAAAGACTAGGAACTAGTTTCAGATGGAAATGAGAATTTGATGGGAAACTGGAAAAAATGGCCATCATTGTTAAACTGTTGCAAAAAACCTGATTGGCCTGTGTCCTTGACCTAAGACTTTGTAAAGACTGAAATTAAGAATGATGGTTCATTCTTCTGCCAATTTTTTTTTGTTTATTTGGCAGAAGAAATTTCAAAACAACAAGCATTCAGGCTATGATGTGGGTACTATCAGTCATTTTCAGTCAGATTTACAGTGAGAGTCAGGAGCAGAAAGATTCAGAAAATTCTCAGCCTGGCCAGGGAAGGAAAAAAGAAAAAGTGAGGACTTGTGTGGTTAAGGAAGGCACAGCAGAGGGACTGCTTTTTAAGAGATTCTCAAGAACGCTAACTGTTAGGAATGAAAAAGGTCTTGAAGGCATCTCCTAAATCTTCTAGGCTACTCCTTTAACCACAGGCCCAGAGACCTTCCAGGGTAAAACTATCTTAGGGACTGAGTCCAGGGAGCTCCCTACTACCTTACCACCCAAGACCACCTCAGGATTAATTTCTCTGTGTTCAAATGGCAAAGAACTATATGGCTTCAGCAGTGGTTCAAGGAGGCCCAGGCCCAGCAGACTTTTCTGGCATCTACTTGGTGCTGGCTCTGTAGGTGTGCAGAATACAAGAGTTATGACAGCATGGCAACTTCTACAAAGATTTCAAAGGCCTGGAGGCCAACTTGCTGCAAGCTCTGAGTCCCTGCAGGGAGTGCCTGATAGGGTGCTATGTAGTGGAGCTGTGCGAGTAGAGCTATAGTAGGTATCCCAGAAAGATAGGAACCAGCAACATGTCACCATCACCTAGGAAAGTCTCCAATATTCCCATGCATTACATGGGCTGTGACTGGAAAAACTGTAGGGTGGAAATGCCCAAAGCCTTGGGGCCCACCTCTCACTGATGCCAAACTTGGATTTAATGTCTGTTCTGCTGATTTTTGCTCTTGCTTTAGAATAATTCTTTCTATCTCCGTGCTCTTGCTTTTTGGAATGGGACTGCACACCCTGTGGCTGTTCTACCATTGTACACTGAAGAGATAACTTATTTTGATTTTATGCTAGAAGTTTCATCTTGAGACTTGGATGAGACTTTGTATTTTTCTTTGTTGTTCTTTTTTGTTTTTTTGGCAATACTGGAGTTTGAACTCAGGGCTGTGTGATTGTAGACAGGCACTTTATTTACCACTTAAGCCATTCCCCCACTCCTTTTTTTGTTTTAGTTATTTTTCAGATGGTGTTTTGTGCTTTTTTTGCTTGGGGTCTTCCTCAGACTGTGATCCTCCTGCCTACCCCTCCCATGTAGTTGGGATTACAGGTGTGCACTATCATGCTCAGTTTGTTTATTGAGACTAGGGTCTCACTAACATTTTGCCTGGGCTGACCTTGAACTGTGACCCTCCACCTCCCAGGCAGCTGGGATTACAGGTGTGAATTACCACACCCAGCCTTCTTTTTCTTTTGGTGATACTGGGGATTTGAACTCAGGGCTTCATGGTTAGGAAGGCAGATGCTCTACTGCTTGAGCCACACCTCCAGCACTGTCTTTTTTTGGAACAGATTCTCACTATATAGCCCAGCCTAGCCTCAAATTCATGATCTTCTTGCCTTATCAGTGTCCTGAGTGCTGGGATTACAGGCATGAACAACTACCACACCTGACTTTGTACTTTTGAATTAATGTTGGAATGAATAAAGACTTTGGGACTATTGAGGATAGAAAGATTTTATTTTGCACTGTAAGAAGGCTATGAACCTTGGGGGCCAGGAGTAGAATGCTATGGTTTTGATACGGTTTCAATGTTTCCCCCAGGGATTCATGTATTGAAATTTAGTCCCAACACTGAGGTAATTAAAAGTGCTTAGAGTTGGAAACACTGGGAGGTGATAAGGATTAGATAGGTTATGGGGTGTAGCCCAAGATTAAATATTGGAGTCTTTGTAAGAAGAGAGAGAGGTGAGTGTGTGACAAACGTTTGTAATTCCAGCACTTGAGAGGATGAGGCAGGAGTATTTTAAGCTGGAGGCCAGCTGCTGCTACAAAGAGAGTCCAGAACAGCCTAGGCTACACAGAAAAACCCTGCATCAAAAACCAAAGAAAAGACCGACCAGAATGGACACACACATAAATTTGCTCTCTGCCTCTTGCCATGTGATGTATTTTGTTATAATAACAAAATGGATTAATACACATTATATCTTTAATTACCTTTTTTACCTGTAATATTTCACCCCCTTACCTATATTACAAGTGTTTCCTGAGGACACACTTATAATCTTTTGTATATACCCAATATGTGGCCCAAGGTTTTCATATAAAGAAGCTGTTTAACAAGTAGATCTTTTGGCTATCCTAATTAGAGATAGCAAATTTAAATAGTTTACTTGAACCTTGATCCTGAAGTTATTATTGTGAAAAAAGCAAAAATATAGAAAAACTATTTTCATTTATTATTCTTCACCAAGCCCTCCTACCAAGTCTTCCCACTTAAGGTAAGACTATCTTAACCAAACTTAGAAACAACTTCAATTGATTAATTAGTTTATCTTGCTTAAAAGATTATTCATGCTTATGGTATCTCTCTTTTCTTTCAAAAGAATACAAATCCCTTAAAGACAAGAGTCCCTATTTTCTAAACTCTCTTAATTGGCACTATTAGTATGGGCTATATATAGTAATGTGTTACTTAATCTTAACCATAAATGTAGTCAGAGAAAATGAACTTGGTTCATTTATTAGTAGAAATTTTACACAAGGAAAAATGGACAATGAGGGGAATGGTAGTAGCATTACTGAAATGCTGACAGAAGGGGCAGAAATAGGTTAGGGATTGGGCTGTCATAATATTTTAGTTTGGGATATGTTAAATTTAAGAAAATCGCTTATACACTCAATGGGAGAAAATGAGTAGGCAGTTCATTATATAAGCCTAGGGTTGAGGAGACAAACAGGGCTGCAGATATAAACTTGGGAGTTGTCAGCATATAAATGTTTTTCAAAATCACTACTCCTGAATGGGATCACTAAGGGAATGGAGATGGAGACTAGACAGTCTTGCTGTGGGGCACTCAAATACTTAAGAGTTTGGAAGAAGAGCATCAGCAAAGAAGTTCTCTACTGTGTTCTAGAAATCAAGTATTTCAAGGAGGAGGAAACACTGACATTAAATGCTATCAGAGAATAAAAAGAAAAGATTTGAGAACTATTATCTTTGGCAATATTGAGCTGGTGATTTTGATAAACACCTTTGCAGTAGGATGAAAAGCTTGAAAGCCTCATTTCACAGGGTTCAGGAGAGAGTCAAGGATGGTAAAAAGAATAAATAATTCCTTTGAGAAACACTGCATAAAGAGCAGAGAAATGGGAAAGCAGACCAACAAAGTGGGACTGAAGGAAGGTTTCCTTGGATTTTAACATGGAAGATGTATTTGGGTGGTGACAAAAATAATCCAGTACATTAAGAAAAAGTACAGTAAGAAAAAAGATTAATGTAAGAAGAGAGAGAAAGAATAAATGCAGGGTCAAAACTCATGAGGTGAGAAGAAAAGGGATCTATAACAGAGGTTGGCCACAGGCAGAGGTAGGAATAATTCAACTGCTGTGATTAAGGGAGAAACAAAGTATTTGGTGGTACAAATGCAGACAGACAGTATATGTGGTGGTAGAAAGATTTAAGTTTTCTCTTAATTTCTTTTCTTTTTTTTGAGACAGGATTATACTACGTAGCTCAGGTAGGTTTGAAATTCAATGTAATCTAGGCTATCTTCAAACTCATGATCCTGCTGCCTTAGCAGGAAACAAGGTCAACAAATGAGTGTGAGAAGAGTATGTTGTAGACATGTGAAGAAAAAGAAGTTGTAAAATAATTATCTTGGAATGTTCTGGGGAGCCACTTGGCATTGGTGATCTTAAATTTACAGTGAATTAGTCAATATGATCATGTTATCTTCTCTTCTCCTGTTGAAGTGCTCAGCAGAAGTTCAGAGTAGGTAGAAGGGTGAATTTAACCGATCTGCTGGGTTTTTCCAGGTGAGTCTGACTGAGGGAGTGTGAGACACTGGTTAGATATGTATGGAAGAGAACAATTAAAGTAATGACTATAGGTGATCTAGCCTGGACAGGAAGAGAAGGAACAAGCTAAGTGAAAGAGCGAAAAAAATGTTAGACTCATACTCCTCATGGGGATGAGAGAAAGTTTAATTGCATGTACAAATTAAAAGAAGATGCTGGAAGTAGGGATTTTAAGGAAGTCCATACTATTATTGTTAAAAGTCTTAGGCTTGGATTTTAAGATAAAATCTAAAAGTTTCAAAGTCATCTTTGATTATTTTTACTTGTTTTTTTTGCAATCCATGTCCCAACCTATCAGCACATTATGTGAACTCCACTTTGAAAATAGAGCCCAAAGAAAGAACTCTTATCACTACCATTCTACTCCAAGCCTTCACCATTAGTTTTCTGGCCTGGTCTCCCGGCATTCATTCATTCACACTCTTCTACAAGTAGTAGCCAGAGTATCTTTAAATATAAATGAGGTCATATCACTCCCCCCTCAAAGCATACTAATGTTTTCTCATCTCACTTAGAAAGAATCAAAATCCTATACAATCTTATGCCATCTGGGTCTTGTTTACCATTTACCTTCATTGCCACTTTCTTCTGTATTTCTGCACAGTCACACTGGATGCTTTCCTTTTTCTTACGCATGTCAAAGAATCCTCTCACCTTGGGGGATTTTTTTTTTTTTTTTTTGTGGTACTGGACTTTGAACTCAGGGCCTCAAGCTTGCTAGGTAGGTACTCTTAGCACCTGAGCCATTCCACCATCCCACCTAGGGACTTTGAACTTGTTCTCTCTAGTAGATTCTTCTTCCATACATTCTCAGAGGCATTTTTTTTTTTTAAACTTATCCAACTTTCTGCTCAAATGTCATCTCCTGAGGAAGGCTCTCCTTTATCTCTTTAAGTCTTTTTCTTCACCTGCTTTATCTTATCTTTCTTCAGAACACTTATCATTTCCTGCCATTATAATATATTTACTTTTTACGCCCACCCTCCTACCATAAGGTAAAATCTACAATGCTAAAGAATTCATCTGTTGTTCAATACTCAGAACAATGCTTAGTAAACATTTGTTGGATAAATAAGTAAATGACTCAAAAATATACAAGGTCACTTATTTTGGAAGATTTCAAGGATTAAAACTTTTTTGAGTTTCTGAAAGAAAATCACAAAGTAAGAGTTCAACCTGTTAGTTCTACATTAATAAAAAGCACATCTAAAATACTAACTTTCAGATGTAATATACTTAAGCAGTTACCTGATCTTTGAGAAATTTTCTGATGTTTCGATGGGCTCGGGAACATTCGGTTAATAAGCTGAGAACTGGAGTTAGACCCTCTCTATAGCTGCTTCCCTATAAAGAAAACCATACATGCTATATTAGTTTAGCTTTTAAAAGTATACTTTTCTCCATGCAACTTGAGCATCTGAATGTTTTTTTTTAGGGGGTGAGGGATATTATATCTTATATTATCAAAGCTTATAAACTATTTAAAAATTTTTAACAGTATTTTTATTTTGTAAGTAATTTTCATATTTATTGTCTGTTTTTATCTGTCCTGGATTTTCCTATTTTTTTCTAGGGTTACCCTGACTTGGCCAATGGCTTCAATGAAATAAGGTTTTAGTGACTCATCTATGCTAGCCTGTTACCTGACAAAGTGAGTGACAAACTAGAGAAAATTTACAAGAAGAAAACTGCAAAAAGAAAAAAAAAATTTTGAGGATGTATTTTAAAGGTATTATAGAAAGTATCAAGTTTTTTGGAGAGGTAACTTTTACTTCTAGCATTTACTACGTGCCTACATAGACTACTAACTAATTTTTCCTCTGTTTTCAGTATCTAGTCACAAATTTGGTGTTGTAATAACACAATTTTCAGCATTAAATAGATAAACTCACTAGGTTTCAGCAATTTATTATATATTATAACAAAATACTTTAAAAAGTAAGATTATACAACATGTCAGCTATAAAGTAAAGCTTAAATGTAAAAATCACACTCTGTTCTATGTGTGCATGTGTGGCACATTTACATTCTTTAGAAGTGTCTTTCTGAAGCTTTCATTTTATCAGCCTTACCTTGTCTATTCTCTTCTCCATAAAATTGAGTAAAACATGAATGGCCTCCATATTCATACCATTGTATACCATGGTATTGTTTTTCAAAACAGTTTCTTTCTCAGCTGTTTTATCACTGGGCAGTTCATCTAGAGTCGTTGCCTCTTGGGTTGTTTCTTCATGGGTTAATGGGCAAATGAGAACATCCAAACAAGAGACCGGAACATTGCTTAAAAGGTTGACTGCATTGCTGAAAAGCAATTTAAAAACACAGTATTTTAATTTGATTGAATAGCCCTTTAAAATGCAAACATAATAAGAAGCTCAGAGGTGACTTTTTGGGATGAATTAAAATTTTTTTCAAAATGAGCCATTAATATTACTTGGCATTTGCTGAGAGAGAAAATAAAGAACTGTTTCAAATACACATATGACAAATTAGAAAGAACAGATGTTAAATGGACAGACACAATCACATGATGTCATGTTGCTTTCTGAAACACTAAAATAGGCATTAGTAAGCATTAACGCCAGTTCTTTAATTTTGTTATGACAATAATGCTAGCTTTGTATTTTCTTCAAGGGGTTTAAATCCTTTTGTGGATCCACTGGTGTTTTATTATGCCTCATATTATAACACAAAGTATTTGAGAAGCAGTGCGTACTGGCAGCTTATCACAGAGGCAATAACATTAAAAACCAAACATTGCAGGATTCAGTTTTGTTCTTTTTAGATGTACAAAATACAATTTTTTAAATCATCACATTTTTTTCCTAAGGCATGCAGGAAAAAGAAAATGGTGCTTTTTTTTTCTCCCTCTCTCATCATTAGATCTTTAAATGAGATCAACATAGCTATTTCTAATCTCCATCTCCAAGGCTTTTCTGCTTTGTATTAAGGAATACAGGAGCCTGGGATGCATACCAGTAGGGGGAACCCAAGCCCTGTATTTTTGGCATTCCCTAAAAGTCTTGTTTGTTGCTCAGTGTACAGGAGATTAAAAGGACACTAATGATTGGACATGTTCTCAGTGAGCATATTTTCCTTCATGCTTCATTTCATATTTTCATTTAAAGGAGAGGTAGTGCTCTATGCTAACTGGATCTTAATCGCTAGTACCTCAAAACTTCCTGATAAACAACAATGGAAAGACAGGCATTACATTTCTTAGTGACAGAGAAGCAGGTCTAAAAATAACCACATAGTGATTAAAAATAAACTCTTGTAAATGCAATTTTAAAGTCTAACCACTTGGAGACCAAATTCAGGGCTTAATCCATCTGATGCTATCTTAATTTAGACCATAGTAGTCTAAAATTTAGAGTATAGTGAGATCCTAAAAAATAAAACAAATAGAAAAACTGAAAAGATACAAACAGAAACATTTTTCTTTCGTTTTCCCCAAAGTGTAGGTCTATTTCTACTTTAATATTTTCTTTATTTTTATATTATAGAAAAATAAAAATTAGTGAGACATCTATTTAAAAATTAGACAATGCATAACAATAAGTGGAAATGTATAGGGCACTGAAAAATAATATGAACTGTGGGCAAAAAGAAGTTAACGAGTTTTATGAATAAATGGTTCCTGGTGAAAGACCAGTTATTTGATTGTGCTCACTAAAACCTGCTGCTGCTACTACTATTGCACGTAGTCTTTAAGTTTGGTTATTTGTAAATTTGCAAAGGCAGCTGAAAAACAATGCTTCCCCTACAAACTTTCTCTTTAAAGACTTTTGCAAACTTTGGTAATTCCTTATTAACCATTTAAAATAGTTTACTTCTGACAATCATTTGGAAATTGTTACTAAATACTATAGACTTATTGGGGAGAAAAGAAGAACAAAAAAGAGCTTTACCTAAGAATTACTTTCTAAAACTGTACAAGCCATTCTGAAATGTTAGGGTTTTTTTCTAAACATAAGGCAATGATGGGCTCTGGAGTTCATCAGCAGTTATGATTCTCTAAATCTACCACAGAGACCAGACTGAAAGGTTTAGCATGGGTCATTTCATTACAAAGGAATGTTTCCCCTTTAAATTCACTTAAAGTAAGCAGTTTCCAGGAATTCAGTAAATTTAAGAAATTAAATGTAGGGTTAGAATCAACAAACATTTGGAGGGTTCAGGCTTCTCAAGAAAAGTTCCCATTTTCTCATTTCTTCTTAAACTTGGTTCCCAAACAATTACAAAATTAATTTTCTGGCTCACTGTGTTTGAGCTATTCTTTTTAAGGAAGGAAGGCCAGCTTTTTGAGCTCTGTCACTTCTCTGACAGTTTTATTTGTGGCAGAAGAGTGTATGAAATTCTCCAGCTACCAGGAAGTCAGTGACTATGCACAGATTTGCACAATGGTGTTTGCATTCCTACTCCAGGGGGTAGAAATACTGTGTATATTACTCTCTCCTTTTCAGCTTCCTAGAGATCATTAATCACTGGGACATGACATCCTCCCACTCATGCTCCCAGCCCCCTCCTGATATGCAGATTCGAAAGCAAGGACTATTTGGAGCTCTTTAATGCCCCGATTAAAGTCTTGTTAGTTGTGGGAGAGGAAGATAATCTAAAATCTAGTTCTCCATCAATCACTGAACTAGACATAATTTAATATCAAAGGACACTGAGGAGATGCTAATGGCACATGTAGCTCTATAAAGTCGTTAACAAACCTTTCTGATCAAATGCATCTTCTTTATATTGTCTACTTTCAAGGCTGGATAGTAGATTAAAACAAAACTTAAAGTCTCCAAAAGATTTCCCTGGTGTTTTCCACTTACTTAGAAAACTTTTAAATAAATTTTTTATTTTGTTAAACTTAACATAAGATCTACTGGCTTAGCAAATTTTAAGTATACAATCCAATACTGCTAACTATAGACTCTAGACACTATGTTATACCATTAACTCTTTGCATAACTGAAACTTTCTTTTTTTGGGGGGGTGGGCAGTACGGGGTTTGAACTCAGAGCCTCACACTGGCTATACAGATCCTCTATCACTAAAGCCATTTCCCCAGTCCTGAAACTGTGTATCTTTTAACTAATACCTCCCCCTATCCCATCCTCACTCCCATCCTAGGCCTTGAAGACCACTATTATACTATCTGGTTCTGTAAGTTTTGCTATTTTAGACTCCTTACACAAGTGGGATCATGCAGTATTTGTCCTTCTCAATCTAGTTTATTTATCTTTTTAGAATGTCCTCCATACTCATTTACATTGTTGCAAATGACAGGATTTCCTTCTTTTTAAAGGCTAAATAATATTTTCATGTTTATGCAAATATACACATTTTCCTTATCCATTCATCTGTTGATAGACACTTAGCTGCTTCCCCATCCTGGCTATTGTGAATAGCCATATAACGAATATAGGAGATATACACCTGGAGGTAGGTATGTAATTCTACATTTAATTTTTTGAGGACCCTCCATATTATTTTCTATAATGGCTATACTAATTTACATTACTACTATCAGTGTACAAAGATTCTCTTTTTCTTCACATCTAATTCCTTTTTTTTTTTCAGCCGTACTGTGATTCAAACTCAGGGTCTTTTTAACACTTGGCTAGACAGGTGTTCTACCACTTGAGCAAAGTTCCCAGCCCTTTTTGTTTTTAGTTATTTTTCAGATAGGGATTTACATTCCTCAGATAGTGATCCTCCTACCAATGCCCCCCACCACCATGTAGCTGGGACCACAGGCATGAGTCACCACACCCGGCTTATTGATTGACATGGGGGTCCTGCTAACATTTTCCATGGGCTGGCCCAAAGACTAGACTTTCCTGATCTCCACCTTCCAAGTAGCTGGGACTACAGAGGTAAGCCACTATACCTGGCCTTGTTTTTTTATTTTTTATAGTAGGTATTGTAACAGAAGTGAGTGGTAGCTTATTGTGGTTTTGATTTGCATTTCCCTGATTAGTGCTATTGAGTACCTTTTCATATATCTGTAGGACAATTACATGTCTTCTTTGGAGAAACAGCTATTCAGATACTCTGCTTGTTATTTATGTTATTTAATTTATTGGCTATTAAGAGTTCCTATATATTTTGGATATCAACCCTTATCAGATACATGTTTTGTAAATATTTTTTCCATTCCATAAACTGCCTGTCATTTTGTTGATAGTTTCTGAAACTTTCAGTTTGATGTATTCCCACTTTTCTATTTTTGTTTTTGTTGTCTGTGCTTTTGGTGTCATGCTGAAGAAATCATTGCCAAAATCAATGCCTACAAGCTTTTTTCCCTAAGTATCCTTCTAAGAGTTTTACTGTTTCAGGTTTTACATTTAAGTCTTTAACCCATTTTGAGTTTGTTTTATGTATGGTGTGAGGCAAGGATCCAATTTCATTCCTTTACATATGGAAATCAGTTTTCCTAACACCATTAATTGAACAGATTCCTTTCCTCATTGTCAATTGACATTCTTACTGAATTACAGTTGACTATACATGTGTGTGGGTTTACTTCCAGGCTCTCTACTTTGTTTCATTGACCTGTTTGTCTATTTTAATGCAATACTATAGTGTTTTGATTTCTGTAGCTTTGTAATACATCAGGAAATCAGGTAGTGTGATACCTCTAGCTTTGTTTTTCTTGCTCAAAATTACTTTCACTAGGGTTTTCTGTGGTTCTGGAAGGAAGGAAAGAAGAGAAAGAGGAAGGGGAAGACGGAGGGAGGGGAGGAAGGAGGGATGAGGGAGAGGGAGGGCAGGAGAGGGAGAGGGAGGAAGGGAGGAAGCAGGCAAGCAGGTAGGTAGAAGATGATAGTATTCAACACACTCTACCTCTCCTCTTCCTTATGATAAGATAGTTTACTGAGGGCCTTAAACCAGTTATGCTGGCAAAATAGTAGATGTAGAAGCTTGGTTATGGTGGGGTGAAGAATGACAGGGGTTACGTCCATGAAAACAATAAGCACGAGCCAGTGGTTTGTAAAGTGAGGTGGGACACATGCAATTACAGAGACACATAAAATGATCCACTAGAGTGTAGGAAGAAAACATAAGTGTGATTTTAATTAATTTTATCTAAAAAGTTGAAAAGAAGTTAAGCTTTACTAATATTTAATAAACACACTGACACTGATACTCTGAATCATATATCAGATACTCCCCATTTATAAACATGTGCAAAGCGTCTTGAGGGAAGAACTAAAATTCCACATCATGGAAAGATAGCAGTGATAATCTTTTCTCCTTGGGCACTCACATGCTTTCTTTGTTGGTCATGTTACAATTTA